AATTATTTGCATATGCCGACCGAAAAATTTAATTGATTTCAAGTTGTGGAAAGATAGAAGAATGTATTTATCAGTGCATTGTAGAAAATTAGTGTGTTAATTGACACTTGATGGTTTAGATATTGGACAATGTCGGTGTCAGTCTTACGACAACGGGTCTAATATGGCTGGCATTTCTAAGACAGTATAAGATAGGATTACAGAAATGAATAAGCCTTAGGAATTTGTGCCATGTTTGGATCATTCCTCGTATCTTATCGGTTTGCATTCTGCTTCTTCGTGCCCGGAAGCAGTTAATCTGTTTGGAATTACTCAGAAAATACTTCACTTTTTGTCGGATGCACTACTCGATGGTATATTATGAAAAAATTTACAAAATGCAACGTAAAAGGAAGCATCCAGACAAGATGGTCGGCAAAATATGTGGCTGTGCAAGTCCTTCTAATGAATTTAATGGAAATATTAAAATATTTAAAAGAAATTAAAGGTACTTCTCTTGACGCGGAATCAAAGCACGAGGTGGAAAATCTGGTACATGCTGTGAAAAATTTTGAATTTACTATCAACCTGAAAATTTGAGCTAATATTTTTCCAGAATTCAATCGAGTAACTATAGAAATTCAAAAGGAATTCCTCTTCTGCTTTCTGTGTAGTTAACGAAAGAACTGACTAAAACTGAGGAATTATAAAAAATAAGAGAAAAATCCTATGGAATATTGGATACAAGAGTCTAAAACAGTAGCCGAAAAAATTGCAGTTGAGTCTATTCTAACGAAGAAAAAATTCCACAGCACAAAAAGCAATCTGATGAGCTATTTGAGGACGAATCACGAACACTTCAAATTGTTCAGATCGAAGTTTCAGCAAATTAAAACATATTAAAAAATATCTAGGATCATCGTCGGGGTCTCGCGATCCTGGGAACCGAAAATCAAACCGCAGATCAAATTGTGACGATTCCATGCACTTATTTGCAGAACAAAAAGCTTACAGAGTAAAATTTTAATTTTGGTTACTAATTCTGAAATATTTTAATAGCGTTAATGTAGGCAAGAACTTAAAATTACTTATGAAATAGGAAGTATGAAAAACAAGACAGGAAGCACGAATACTCTGAGTGATAGCCCATTTTCTGTATAATCTTTTCAGAATTTTTCCTTTCCGCAATAGCAGATTTATGCATCGTACTTCACTAACATTTCAGAAGGCATTTCGCCAGCACCCTGCGCGTTTGCTTCACTGCATGCTGACTTCGATTCGAAAGTCGCTTGAGGCTAGTCAGGCTGGTTTACATTATGCAATATTCTTTGCATTATGTCCACGGGAGCTTGCCTTCTTCTGCCCTTCATATTCTTTTGTTCAAGCCTGCAGGAACTCTGCAGTGAGAGGTAACGAGCGCTGGACGTGCATGACCAAGATAATCACTTTTAGTACTTTTGGAAGCAAAATATTTTACCTACTCTCAATACATTGCACTACCTAGAGAATAAGCCTCTGACATGTGGATCAAAGAATATGAAGGAGAGAAGAAGAGTGCTGGCGAAATTCCTTCTACTTAAAATGTTAGTGAAGTACAAAGCATAAATCTGCTATTTGAAAATTAGCCTTTGCTGTTATTTATACTTAAAATCTTTATCCTGCAATGTACTTTGCGTACAGTTTTTTTTTTTTTTTAAATTTTACAGAAAAAGTGTTATTTATGTTAATGGTTATTGTTATATTAATATTTCTAATGTGATACAATATTAAATTGTACTTTCATTTTAAATGTCTATGATAATATATTTCCTCAAATAAACTCATAGATGTAACATTTACTATTATTTAAATAATTAAAAAAAAAAAAAAAACGCGCAACGTAGCGTTTAAGTAACCCTTTGCATGGGTTACCCTTCCCAATACTGACCGCGTTCTTGAATGCTTGGTTTTTAGATGAAGGGAAAAGAGCTGATTCTTACCTCTCAGTTGATGGAAAGTTAGAAATACAAGCAAATTAAGGCATAGGTAGAATTACAGCAAGTCGTTAATGAGAAATGTTAATTAGGATAATTTAGTGCTTCCGAAGATGTTTCCGAGCTCGTTCATTGTGCAAAAGAATTCGAAAATATTTTTATTGGGGTTAGTGTTTTAATTGTTTCGGAGTAAGATTTAGGTTTTAAGACAAGAGTTAATTTGGAGTTGCTTCTTTTAGATGTTATTTTGTTCTTTTGAGAGGAGGTTTTTAGGATTGTCCATTTTGTGATTAGCGTCATTATTATGTTAAAATTTCAGAGATTTGATGAAGTTCGGTTTTTGGAAATTTTGGGCATCCATTGGTTCTTAAAAGTAAGGCAGATAATCTGCACTGCATAAGAAAACTTTATACTGAGGCAATGAGAGTTTCCAATTCAATTGCTTATTACATACGATTTTTATTACCTTTTCTCATGTCATGATATGAATTTTTAACGAAATTAAAGCTGGCAAATTAAACAGATTAAAGAAATTATAGTTTTAGGTAAAGAATTCACTTTTTTAAACCATTCATTATAGTGCTCTGACAGGCTCTCAGATATTACCGGCGGTTTTGGATCGCGGTCGTGGATGAATTTTAAAGTCTGTCTTTACGCCTGTAAAGTTTGTCGACGCCTTTTACACATTTTAGACGCCTTTTAGACATTTTTCTCTAGGGCGTTGCTGTAGCGTTGAAGCCTTACTTCTTCTCGGAATTAAAATTCTTTGATGTGGACTGAGGCATTTCTTTCCTTAGAAGTTAATTAACCTCTGTCAAAATGTTTGTTCTGCAGAGAAAGGCATGCATTCAAAAGTTATAATCGATTTTTAAGGCATATTTATTTTAAAAACAAAATTTATCTGCTAAACTGTGTTTCACTTACATAAAAGAAATAACGCTGGCTCCGGTGCGAATCTCAACCGGCGCAAATTAAACTGTGATTTCATATTTATTTTCAATACTCGTATTGTTAAAGAAATAAGTTAGCAGTTTCTTCTATACATTCTCAGCACAAGCAGTTAAATCCGAAAATTCTAAAATGAAGAGAAATTCATTGAAAAAGAAATTGATTTTATAAAGAGAGAGAAAATTATTCTTCAAAGGTACTTTGTTGAAACATTTACAAATTAGGAGATGAAGCGGAGACTAGTGGGAACATTGGTATGTTTATTGAAACAAATAAACTTAGTACGGTTGCTAAAGAGAAGGAAATCGATACAAAATATCTGGAAAATTTTCAAGTTAAAAAAGATGTATAAAAATTTTATTTTTATTGTTTCTGCAAAACATTTTTTTGTAGTTTTTAATGTATGGTTAGAATAATATCATTTTAGAATCATCATCATAAATTATAACTGCTGTAAAATGTTCTTAGTACTTGTTAAATGGATATTTTTTAGAAATAAAAAAAAATGTAATTCTAACCATGTTAATCTGTTTAAGAGTATCTAACTATGTAATTTAATTATTTGTGACTAACTGCTCGGCCTTAGAAGTTATCTCTACTTGTTAAGATGAGTTATCTTCTTTCCTTCATCCTTATTGCGCATGCAAGATCCAGCACAAAAATGTAAAAATTAACATAAAAAGTTATTCCTTATAGGTAATGAGACTTACAATAATACAAAGTAACCTGTCATCTGTGGTATTTCAGTAGCTTATTGGAAATATTGTATATTAGCTGGCTTGCAACTTCTGCAAGTTTACATGAAGCTATGACACTAACGGGGTCACACAAAGTGCAACTAACTTTCAACATTTACCAACGTCAGTTGTTCACGTCTCCGTTGACCAGCGGCTCTCTGTCTGCTTTTCGTCACCAGTATGACTTATTCAATATCCAGTGTGAACGCAGTCTTTTTGCCCAAAATATGTATGTTTCATATGTATATGTTTTCGATGCAAAGATTCAAAAAATTTTATTAAGAATATCTTAGACTTGCAAAAGATCTAAATAATGCAAAACCCCCATTCGGATGGATGAACTAAAAGAACATTTGTACTTAAAAAAAAAAAAAAAAGCCCGATAATGATCAAAATTTTATTTCCTAAAAAACTAATCAATTATACATCTCCAAGTTCATAAAATTCACAACTTTTTCTTTTCCTGAATAGAGAAAATTTCAAAATTTTCATAATAGCATCAGGCTTGAGTGGAGTGTAACGATCTTCAGGTGTGATGGAACGTCAGGTTTAAATTAGAGGACTTCCAGTTCTCTTGAGAAAGAACCACGGGGTTCGCTAAATGACCGGATAGAAATCAACAAATAAAACTGGTTAAGGACTTTCCTCGTCCTTGTGCATTTTCCTTGCGACGAAAACGTAAAAGGAAATTAAAAGGCTTTTGTTTGAAAAATGCCCTAAGTAGAATTGCACCAAGCGATTTTCTGATCCGTTGATCACTTAGAACTTAGTCTGTTCATTCTGTAGCTGTACTGATGTTTACTTTTATTTAACCAATAAATCTTTCTTTAAAGTTTTAAATTCTTTTAAGTTTTAAATTAAATATTTAAAAGACCACTGGTCAGATTATTCCTCCATATCGGAAGTTCGCTTACGGTACAAGAGTTCTGTATGACAGCTCTCGATCAAAAAGTTTTAATAGAATCAAAGAAATCATTCACAGTTTAGTTTCAGTGGTCATAGACACCACGGTGTCATAAGATACGTTTATTGCGGCCTGATTTTTCTAGAACTGGGTTCAGTCCTGTTTTACTTACCTTTTGTTCAGAACGCAGAGAAAGTGGGGATAATGATAAAAGAAAAAAGCGTATAGGTGATATCTTAAACGTAGATTATTTTAAGGCTAGTAATGTTTTTATTAAAATTTGTAGTAATGATTTTTGTAAAACTTTTGTTACTTTTTATATATTTGAGTATTAATCATGTAATATACAAATTATGTTTTTTGTATGCTCAGAGAATAATGAGTTCTGCTTTTAGATTTTTTTATTTTTATTTTTTGAAATGAGTAAATAATTTCTTGAAATTATATTGTTCTTTCAAGGTTTTGAAAACAGCAAGTCATATGTGGTCTAGAAAATATGATGTTAAGATTGAAGGATATTATCAAGAAGTGTTAGATGTTGTCCGTGAATTAATACATACTTTGTTTCTGCAGTGGACAAAAACTATTCCAAAAGTAAGTTTTAAGTTATATTTAATATTTTATATTAAAGGTTCATACAAATGAAATCTATTAAGTTAACTTAAATTTTAATTATATTTAAAATTATGTTTTAGTAGCTAAATTGTGTGTGTTTAATGTATTTTTTACTTAACCCTGAATTCTTTCAGTTTTTATTTTGATGCTAAACTGATATTTCATGATTTTCTAGTCACTTCTATAATCCTAGAAAGTCTGAAAAAATATAAATATTTTCAGAAAGACAGAAAGACTAAATTAAAAAAAAAAAAAAAAAAAAATCAGAAAAGTTAAAAAAAAAAAAAGAAGTACGCATTAATCCTCTCAAAATAATAAAATTTTCATGTTTTAAACAGTATGCAATAAACAAAAATTGTCTTGAAAATAGATTTTGTAAATCATACTTAAGGTCAAAAGATTACATTTGAATAGAGAATAGCCGATTAGTTATTCAATAAAGTCCCCAATCGGCGCCATAGCTGGTGTGGTAGCACAAGCGGCAGAATTCAGAAGATGCAAAATTTTTAGAATTTAGAGAAGCACCGAGCAACAAAATAATCTTTGTTTTTCTTAGAAACATAGAATTTATTATTACAGCAATTGGCTGTATATGTGGCGATAAATAACTAATTACGCATTCTTTTAAATATCAATGGAATAATTGTAACGAATTTTGCACTGTAATTAATTTCTTTTGCACACTTCACTGCTTTTGCAGAGATTGAAATTTTTATAAAACTCTATCTACTTATTTGAATGATTTAGACGCACATTTCCTATATAATTCCTTTCATTTGTTTTTCAGCAGTAATATAACTTAAATTTTTATAAAGTTCTGAATTATTACTTTGCATTTTGTAGTAAGCATATAGAATCCTTCATTTCTTTACACTTACTTTGATAACTAGTTTATTGTGTTTGGCCAAGAAAATTGCTCCATTTGGCCATGAGAAACCAGGGAAATTAAAAGTTGAATTTAAGTGGGAAACCTGTGTTTTCTTTTAATATTTTTAAGAACAGTTCTAAAGTTCTGGACATAATTAAGGATATAAGATCAGAGAAATCACTGCGTATGCAACCAAATGAAGATCTTCATTACTTCATAAGATTCATTACTCTTTTTTTGATCAAAAATATTTAATAGAAGGTGGGAAAATTATTATATTTTAATCGTTTTGCATAAAGTGAAGCATAGTTTACATGTTTGCTAAATGTATCTTATAAGTAGTATTAGAATTCTGAGTGAACTGCTGTTGGAGAAAGTACTTCACTGAGATTGAAATGGATTGCCGACCCTGGTACATTATATTCTTTTTTTTTACACAGTGGATACGTTCAGTGCTGTACCATGTAAAAGAAGTATACTAGAATAAAGAATAATGGTGAATAGGTTTCCTTATATTAAAATCATTTAGGATATCAAAAAAATAAAATTCGTTATTATATCTCAATTTTTTAAAAAAATAAAATTATAAAGAATGCTTTTAAAAATCATAACAAAAATTGTTCACTATCAGATATAGGAAAGGAGGGTAAGAATACGCACTTAGTGAAATTTTCATTGTAAAAGTAAGACATATAATGACAGACCTTGGGAAAAGATAAGAGTCATAATTTATTAACTGTGAAAGAATGATGTAAAAAGTGGAAATCGTCACTTTAAGAAAACATGTATCAAAACAAGTTCGAAACAAGAAGGCCAAATGCGTAACCTTACCCGATGTGGCGGGTAAGAGTAGGCACGCAAAAAGGCTAACATTAGTCACATACATGTGCTCCGGTGACTTCGTAATTGGAACATTTTTCATACACCCATTGCTTGCGTATGTCACTCTGAATCCAGTCTTCGTCTTATGATTGTTCGCAAGCTGGACGGATTGCATCCTCATTGGTTGCCGAACTTGAAGGAACTGCGTTTTAGGAGTATTCAAAACGCCTATTGTCTTTGCTTTTAGGCTTTTCCTTTCTTCGAGTTTGTCCCTATTTTCATTTTTCTTATGAGCCCGATTATCGTTTGCTTTATTTGATTCTAGCTTTTCCTCTAACACTTTTTGATTGGAGATCAGGTCACGATCTCTGATTTTTTAGCTACTTGTTTCCTTTTTTCTCTTCTTTTATGTTCTTGAGGAAGGGGCCCAATTGATTGTATACTGGCATTTATCTCTGAAGTTGATTTCAATTCCTTCAGGGGCGGAGCAATCATAGTCCAAAGGCATAGTAGTAAACAGTGAAGGAGAGTAGCGGTCCTCACCGATATGTCAGGATTATATCTATAACTCAGAACACTTTTGCCTGCGAGTTTAATCCTGGCCATGATACAATAGGCTTTTTGAAAAATCCTTGTTATTTTCTTCACTGTTATTACTTTTTCTGTATTTTATACGAGCCACTTTTCAACTTTACATGAGTAGGCAGCTTTCAGAGGGGCGAAGAAACATTTGTTCAATGGTTGACTTGCATGTGGGAGAAGAGTAAGGAAAGTTACATTATTCTCTCGACAAAAGTTGACTACAGGTAGTGAGCAGTGTGATGAATGATTACCTGTTATTATCGTTTGCTTTATTTGATTCTAGCACAGTTAACACGCCTTTCAATGTTCCGTTCAGAAAAGATATATAGAAATAACAGAGACATTTAACTTAGGATTGCGACATTTTAACTTAGGAGGACTTGCATACACTGCTTTAAACAGTTTTATCATTGTGCCCATTGCTTTACACAATTTTATCCTACATTTGGCTTCTTAAATGTTATTCATATTTTAGTCAAATATTTTATTTTTGAAATCGTAAGAATCAAATATCATAAGATTAAAAAGTTTTAAATTTAAAAAAAAAAAATACAAATACTAAATTTTACCGTAAAATTATTTTTTCTTCTCTTTTTCTTCAGGCATTCTACTTTATTCTTGCTCTTTTTCTTTAGGCATTCCGCAAGTATATTAAAAAGCATCCAAATTTTCGAAATATCTTGATATTTCTGACAATCATTTTAAATAAAGTTATCGCCTTCCATTTCATAAAGGCCCACAAACGGCCGAGCGGTAAAGTCGCTGAACACTGATAGTTCACTCCGGGGTTCGAATCCCGGTAAACGGGCTGGTTGCATGGGCGTTTTCGTGGATTTTCTCATGTGTACCGTGTATGCCAGCTGATTTCCCTTAGAAAGTTCTTCACAAAGGCATCCTTCCTTTTAGGCAGATAGCCCTGCTTTGACGTAACTTAATAATTCAATTCAATCCATTTCATCAATATTTGGTCAGAGCCTTTATCAGTCTTTAGAGGCTAAACATTTTGAAGGTATGAGATGAAAGGAAAGACTGGTTTCATCAAGAGGTTTTGGTTTATTTAATTATGACAAAGCACACTAGGGCTATCTGCCTGAAGGGAGGGATGCCTTCGTAGAGGACTTTCTAAGGGAAACTGGCTCGCATACACGTTACACATGGGGAAAACCACAAAAAATGCCCATGCAACCAGCCCGTTCGCGGGATTCGGACCTCGGACAGAACTACCAGCGTTCAGCGACTTTATCGCTCGGCCGCTGTTTCATCAGGAGGAAAAAAAAAAAACATCTTTAGGTGACATCCACATACATCACTGGATAAACTCCTGAATCTTCAAATAATTCGAATGAGAAAATCATGGGATTCTCCATTTATGATACGATATGATGTTCTATAACGTAATTTAAATTTATACAACCATATAGTCTAAAACCAGTCGCTCTTCACTTTAATCTGCAATGATATCGTTTTTGTCTTTTCTGTTAACCACAAGCTCAATTGATGGTATTTGCTGGTGTACACGTCCAAGTGTTTTTTCTTTGAACACCTAAATTCTTTGAAGTATCCTGAAAGTATATTCAAAAGCGTCCAACTTTTTGAAACATCTTGGTATGTCTGACAGCCAAATTTCCCTGCAAATTTTTGCTTACTTTTCTCCCTAATTTTCTTCTTTCCTTCTACAGTTATTTTCAGTGCACACACAAGAAAATTAAGATTTTTCGATTGCTAGACTTCCATAAATTTTGCATTCTTGTCAATTTTTTAAAATATCAATTACATGAATTGCGTTTCAGCTGAAGACAGCTTTTCATTTTCTAGTCATTTTAACTATAAATAAAGTTTAAAGCGAAGTCCAAAGGATAAATATTTTAATTAAAAGATTTTGCTAAATGACAAAGAAATAAAACAGTCCAGCAGGGTTATTCTGTACCACCGAGTAACCCGATTCTTATATCGGCTGAAACAATCTAAATCATATTAAAGATCATGTTTTTTTATACAATCTATAACGCGAGAAAAATTAGCTTTAAAGCCCATTTATTAACCTGGGCGTTAGGGTTTTTCCCCGAGTAAAGTCTACCAACAGCCGCATGATCCGAAAAGACTGTTACTGGCGCTTTGCCGAAATAAACTCGAAATTTGTGTACAGCCATTAATACGGCTAATGTTTCTCTCTCTGTAGCTGTATAATTCCTTTGCGTAGGGTTCAAAGTTTTACTAAAAAATGCCAAAGGATGGCCATTTTGCATGAGAACAGCACCTACAGCATAGTCCGACGCATCTGCTGCAATTTCCAGGTTTTTCGTCCCCCTCCGGGAATTTCAAAACAGGGGCATTGATGAGCGCTTCTTTTAACCTTTCAAATGCAGTATTTGCTTCTGCTGTCCACGTGAATTTACTTTTCTTTCTTTTAATTACTAACAAGGGTTCAACAATATTAGCAAAATCTTTTATGAACGACCGATAATAAGAACATAACCCAAGGAAAGAAGAAAGTTTCTTGGCGGTGGTGTTGGGAGGTGGGGAAATTCTTGATGGCTTTTATTTTTGAATCCTGAGTTTCTATACCCTTTTGCGAAATTTTATAACCCAGATATTTAAGTTCTTTAGTTGCGAACTTGCATTTTGAGGCGTTAATTGTAAGACCGGCCTCTTTTAATAATTTAAAAACTTCTTCTAAGTCTTTAATATGTTGTTCCAACGTACTACTCGTTATAATTATATCATCTAGATAGATTAAAGTCGATTTTCCTAGGACAGGCTTTAGAACAATGTCCA